CGCAGTGTTATTTGTAAAAATTTAAATTTTAATAATGATAAAAATTGGGACTCTAATAATTTTGCATTAGCCTTCAATGAAAAGAGAACTCTAGAGAATAGAATTATTTCATATACAATGTGGTAAACTACTTACATTCTCAGCTTTTAATGCATCGTAAGATTCTTGGAGGATAAGTGGAGCTGAGAAGACTGTAGAGGATCTGTAAAAAAAACATAACACATTAGAATCTGTATTTAAAGGATAAGTACAATTGTAAGATGGAAATAATGAAAGATTCTTACATTCTTGGCTTTAGAGCCACCGTTCGATATTCTCCAAAAATTACAAAGAAAATTGACCTTGTGAAGCGTCTGCGACAAAACGTAAAACATTATACTTTGTTGTTAAATTTGAAAAATTGACTAAACTGGAGTGTGATATATAAAAACTACTTACGATCTTGATCTCCTGGAGAGGCCTTATCCTCTTCAGCACTGACTCTAATCGTTACGAATATTGAACAAGGGAAAATATGAGAAAAGAAAAAAACTAAAAGATTACCAACGCGCGCGATTAAATAACAATCGGCGGACTCACTGACTCTAATTCCGTGAATTATAGTTTAAATGAATTAATTTAAGAGCCATTTTGCTCAGAAAAATATTAATACATTGCGCAACAAACACTGACTCTATTGATCGCATTGCGCGCGGTCACAAAAATTAATCTGAAAATAAAGCTAATTAATTAGGGGGAGGGAGGGGAAGAGTACGTTCATTTAGAAAATACTGCTATTTTTCTAGATAATGATTATATAGAATCTTGAATACATATTAAAGATATTAATTGTAAATCATAAAGTATTCCTCAATATTAAATACTGACAACTATTTGCAGAAATTGTATTCCGAATGTTCTTTATTAGAGTATGTAGTATGCACATTAGTAATATATCAGGCATGTTGTAAGCATTTGAAAACATTTGTACAAATCATATATATTCATAGCCGAATATATATGCAAAAAACAATACCATAAAAAATGCGTGTGAAATCTTGCTTTGAAACATTTTAATTTCGCGTTAGAAAAAATATATAAATTGTATACCAAATGTTACTCAAAATGAATAAAATGTTACGAAGTTTCCATGATTGAAATTCATTCATAAATAATCGTGTAGTCCATGCATTCTACGCTGCTTTCCTAATAAAGGGATAACCTGTAACAACAAAGAGAAACCAAAAATTAGAAACCAAAATATGTTGAATGAAGGCAAATATGTAAAAGTGAAACAACAATATGAGATGATCTAACCGTACAAGTAAAATTCAAGAAAAATTGGCACGAAAAGTTTCAAATCATTACACGATTTCGTTACCGTAATGCTCAATTAATCAAAAAGCACGCGCGTATTAATTAAATGATACTATTAATGAGATATAAATGGAAATAAAAGTGTCGAAGAAGCGACGCTATCGAACAGACGCCACCGATTAAGTTAGTAAAAGTAACGAATCTAATACGTGTTGCTCTCACGAAATCTGGCGACCGAAAGACTTTCCACGACACGTTTCGTCCTTCAACTGAGAAAGAAATAAGAGATGGAGAGATCGTATTCGAACCGATTCGACAATTAACAATAAGACCCTTACACAACAACGTAAGCGTTATGTTTATGTTTCGAACGTTTCCGAATTCCAAGCCTCAAAGATTTGTATGCCTTACTTTATTTGGAGGGAAAATTTCATCGTCTTACGCGGTAAAATTATTTTAACTATTAAATACGTTCACGTCATTCTTAATAAACTATTGGTTTTTAGCATTAGAATTTAGTAAGAACTAGACAGTATGAAGTTAAAGAATCAACAAATAAGTAAAAAATATTATAATAGAAATGTAAAAAAAAATATATATATATATATTATATAACATTTTATATAACATTTCTATTATAATTTATATAATTATAATAATATACTATATTTTCTGACGAAAGAAATGTAAAATATATATATATATGTTATATATAACAATGTTATAATAACATATATTATTAGCATAAAACATATAACATATTATTAGCATATAATAGCATATAACATATATTATTATAATACATATAATAAGCATATAATAGCATATAATAGCATATAACATACATTATTATAATACATATAATAAGCATATAATAGCATATAACATATATTATTATAATACATATAATAAGCATAT